AGCTCCAAAGTTCCAAAGGGCAGGCTCTAGACAGCGAGAGTGGCGCTGGGACCCAACAGAGGACTTCAGCCAGAAATGGAACCAGCGTCTCTGAGGGGCGGGTGCCCAGAGCCTCCCTGTGTGACCGGCGGCTTGATGCCGGGTGCCCGGGCTGGAGACAATGCAGCCGGGGAGGGATCTGGAGGGGGCTGGGACCGGAGACTTCCACACACGAGTAGAACGGCAGCAGTGGGGCGGGGGCGCAATATCTGGCCTTGCGTGGGACTGAAGTTCCCGGGCCTGCCCCCAGCGCGGTTGGTGGTGGGCTGGGGGATGGGGGTAGCGAAGTGATAGCCTTTTTGGGAACTCACGTTCAGAGAATCTCACAAGTTCACCTATGCCGTCGCCATCTTGCCCCGTCTCTCCTCCAAACGATTTTAAAGAAGAAAAATGCCAAGCCTTTAAGTTTTAAGGTTGGGATAGGTAAGGTTTTCCGAGGATGGGATGAAGCATTCTTCACTATGAGTAAAGGAGAAAAGGCTCGACTAGAGATTGAACCAGAATGGGCGTACGGAAAGAAAGGACAATTTAATGCCCAAATTCCATCCAATGCAAAACTCGTTTTTGAAGTGGAGTTAGTGGTTATTGATTGAAACAGTAGAACTTCATCTCTAAAGACATCAGCAGCAATGATAAAACTTGGCTTAAATGATAAAACTGTTTTAAGGGAAGAGTCAACCGGAAAATTCAAAGAGTTAAGTTAAAACTCGTTTACTTGATCCCAACATTTGAGAAGTGTAATGACTTAAAAATCCCCTAAGTCTAAAATACTTTGCTATAGCTATGTAAAATATTGGTCAAAGAGAACTTTTCCCTTTTACCTCATGCTGTAAACTAAAAGCTTCAATAAACATACACACACACACACACACACACACATTTATATATATATAAATTTTGCCCATTTTCCCATTAAGTGGTGTTGAAAATCTTGTTGAAAAGTCTTTTGACCATATATGTATGGGTTCTCAATTATATTTTATTGATTTATATATCTGTCTTCATGC